TTGCTGCTAGAAGAAGTGGTAGTAAGACCAGTAGGGGGTGCTCAGCCTGTGGTCTGTGTGGGTCCTAATTCCCCAGTATAGTGATGGGGACACTACACTGTAAAAAGCACCATCCTTTGGATGAGACGTTAACCCGAGCTCCTGACTCTCTGTGGTCATTCCCATGGCACTTCTCGTAAAGAGTAGGGGTGTATCCCCGGTGTCCTGGCCAAATTCCCTCCACTGGCCCTTGTCAATCATGGCCTCCTAATAATCCTCATCCACTGAATTGGCTCTATCTCTTTCTCCTCTCCACCTATAGCTGGTGTGAGATGAGTACACTGGTGCCGTTGTACTGTGGCTGCCGTCGCATCATCCAGGTGGATGCTGCACACTGGTGGTGGTTGAGGAGAGACCTCCTCATGATTGTAAAGCGCTTTGAGTGTACAGCAATACACAATAAAGCACTATATAAATGCTTCATCCATTCGTTCATTCATTCATTCACCCAGGGCAAATTAGCAATGCACTAGCACCCACCCATAATATCCTAGCAGCCACCGAAAAAACCTAGCAACAATCCAAATAACCCAAGCAATCATCTATCAACTTCCCAAAACACCCTTGCAATGACTTAGTAATACACCTGCAACCAACCAGATCACTGTAGAAAACCACTGGCAACCACCCATGATACCCTAGCAATGAACTAGCAACCATCCAGGTCACTCTAGAAACCATCTAGAATCACACTAGCAACTACCCAGAACACCTTAGCAATGACCTAACAATGAACTTGCAACTAGCTACCCAGAACACCCTAATAATGACCTAGCAAGACATTAGTAACCACCCAGAATACCCAAGAAATGGCTTAGCAATATAATAACAACCACCAAGAACACCCTAGCAATGAATTGGCAACCACTCGTGACACCCTAGCAACCACAAGAACATCCTAACAACCACCAGCAACCATCTAGATCACCAACAATTCAGCAACACATTAGCAACTATCCAGGACACACAGGTAACCACCTAGCGATCATTCAGAGCACTCTAGTAACACTGAGGCATGGACCCACAACACCCTAGCATTTTCTTACTAAAATTTGAAAATGTAGTCATTTCCATTTGACTGTCTATATGACATCTGTTTATCTGACTGTTTATTCAAGACACAGACATCAATCATGAGTGGTTGCTCAGCAACTGAGCACACCTGTAGTCTGATCTGATGAAGACTTCTAGAGTCCATAGACACACAAAAGCAAACGTTTGCAGGCCCAAACACATACATACAATAAAATAAATAAAACTGAGATATTCCCTCTTCAGACAATTACTCCCACATCCTGCATCCAATCCTCCAATCGCAAAGTCCATGTACTGGTTTACGTCAGGCCAACTGTAGCCATCAACATTAAAACATGCTGTAGGGCAGATCTGGAGAAAAAAAATACCCTAATGAAGAGAGCCTAGATGCGATACAAATGAAGATGAATCAAGAGAGACAGATAGAAAGAGAGAGGACTTGCATAACCATGAGCAGCTTCTGGTGAGGCGCTGGTTGCCAAGCAACAGCATCCATGCAGCAGCTGCATTGCGACATAGAGATGAGAACACTTAGTCTTTAGTTCTCTCCCCATTTGACATGCTTTCTACAAAGTCATGTCTTTGAACTGAACTGAGGTTTCAGGGGGGAAAAAAGCATAAATTAATATATTCCTACAATAATTATGAAAAACAACTGACTCAGGTACATACATACAGTGTGCAGATCATGGACTAGTGTATGAGCTGTTGTGCTGAGTCACACTGAGCCAATGAGTGAAGAGTTAAACTAATCATGTATGGAGGAGTGTAGGAGAGAGGGAGAAAGGATAAAGAGAGGGTGGGAATGATATAATCAGGGCAGGAGAGAGAGAGAGAGAGAGAGAGAGAGAGAGAGAGAGAGAGAGAGGGAGAGAGAGAGAGATCAGTGGATATTTTTTTATTGTGTGAGCTTCTCCTAA